ACACACACACACACACACACACACACACACACACACACACCCTTCCACCTCCACTGCTCCATCTTTAGGTCTGCTTCACTGACAGCAGAAAAATGAGGCCAGTCATCGAAGGGATTAAAGTCTCTGGGGTCCACCAACACCTGGCCCAGATGTTAAACATCTGCACACACATGCAGCAGCTGAGGACACATGAGGACTTACAGCATGGACACAGACACTGTCCTTTATCATGACTCCTTTCAAAATAACAGAGAACTACATTCTTTAAGGAAGGCGCATCACAAACTGTCCTTCCAGAGTTGAAGTCTTATCTCTAAAGATGTTCTGTGATCAGTCAGCTGTCAGAGGACACGTTGGGGACAAGTGGAAACTAACTCAGCTTCAGTAAAGTCTTCAGTGGTTCTGTGTGTCCAGGTCATCGGTCCGGTAACACAAGTGTTGCTCAGCACTCACTCTCCAGAAACGGTCTTCCTGCGGCAGCAGCAGCACAGCAGTGTCACCAGCAGCAGGAGCAGAAGCAAAGGGATGCCGATACCCAGAACCAGTGCCAGAATCAGGTCCGCTCCTGTGCTGTTCTGTTCAACTTTGTCTGGAAAGAAACGACCCACAAGAAGTGTTTTAATAAAACAAGAGAATATTTTACAAAGTGAGAAAGATCAGAGACTTCTGGTTGAACATCAGTGTGATGGATGTGCTGTGAATGAGCTCCTGACCAAACCTACCCCCCCCTATGGTTTATGGTGAGTGGATATCTTATCTTATCTTATCTTATCTTCTCTTCTCTTCTCTTATCTTCTCTTATCTTCTCTTATCTTCTCTTCTCTTCTCTTCTCTTCTCTTATCTTATCTTATCGTATCTTATCTTATCTTATCTTATCTTATCTTATCTTATCTTATCTTATCTTATCTTATCTTCTCTTCTCTTCTCTTATCTTATCTTATCTTATCGTATCGTATCTTATCTTTTATCTGATCTTATCTTACCTTTTATCTGATCTTATCTTACCTTTTATCGTATCTTATCTTATCTTATCTTATCTTATGTTTAATTTGCGTTGAAAAGAATAAAATGCCTGAGAATTAAACGTTCTCAGGGGTTAAATAAATAATTTTCACATAATAATCAGCTGTTGTACATTAATTATAGTTTCAGAGAGTCATCATGATGTTTGACAGAGAGGTACTACTGGTAAGACACAATGGCTCAGGGTTACACAGGTCTAAACAGGTTGGAACCACTGGTCTAAGTAGTGCAAAGAGGTCTGTAGTTCAAAGCCACAGGCATCACACAGACCACTGTCATGGAGTCTCAGCACCAGTTTGTGGTACCTGTGCCCAGTTGGACCTCCAACCAGTGTGGTTATCCTCGTCAGGGAGAGGAGAGCTTTCCCAGCCCTAAGAGGACAGTGATTTTCATACTCTTTGGGACGGTCAAACCGTCTGTCAGTGTTGTTCTCAAACTCATGAACATCTTTTTATCCAAAAGTTTAAAAACGTCACATGAAAAGTGATGTGAGGTATCACACTACTGTAATAAACAAGTTCACTAAAAACATGTCCTCGTGTCTCATACCCAACCTGACAATAATTTATCAGATATAAATATACACAAACAACAGTATTTTGTATAAAGACTTGTAAGATGTCAGTTTAACCTCCTGATTGTGCTCACCTTGTCTTAAGCAGGACTGGGGTCCGAACACTTCAGTCATTCCATCAGAGCCGTTACAAACACACCTGTAGCCTCCGTACGTGTTGATGCAAAGAGCAAACGAGACACACACCGCCTCCTTGGACGTGCACTCGTCCAGATCTGTTCAAAGAGCAGCAGCAGTCACAGTATCCTCATTTAGTTATCAAGAAACAGCCGATGAGTGCATGAACCGTGTCTGAACCGTCGTCTGCAGTCAGAGGTACGGGAAGGCACGGTTTACAGAGATTCTSTTCCTAATTTAAGCTTTTCAAACTTGTTTTCACTCATCCTGACGTGGACAACAAATATTTACCATCCACCTCCACGGTGCTGATGTTAAAGTGACTGCTGCCTCGGGCCAGGTAGTCCCTGATGTACCAGTCTGGGGTGTCACTCGACACACTGACACGGTACTCTTCCACACCTGGTCTGGAGCCTCCTCCTGGACTTTTCTTGCTAACATTGTAGAATTTGTTAGTGAAACCATTACGCAAGATGCCTTCCAGCTGAAAGAAGAATGACATCATCAGTCTTCAGGTTAAACTCAGTCAAAGCTACTGAGGGACAGACCGGGGACCAGGCTGGACCCCAGTCCTTCACACCTGCTTCAGTCCATCAGTTCTGCTGTTGGTCCAGCCCAAGGACACATTAAACATGTTGAATCCTGCAGACACAGAGAAACACAGAGCTGAGCTGTGTTACAGCTAGCACAGCTAAAAAAGAGCTAACAGCTAATGAAGCTAACACAGCTAAAAAAGAGCTAACAGCTAATGAAGCTAACACAGCTAAAAAAGAGC